GTCTCCGTCCAGAAGTGGTACAAGACGTCACCAGACCAGGACCCCCGTGTGCCCCCCGACAAGATCTGGTCAAACAAGCAGTTCCAGGAATACCTGGCACAGGTGGGGCAGGGGGATGCTTGGCACAAGGTGCTGGTGCCCGGCATGAAGGCGGCGATCCTGAACGCTCTGCGCAGTGCCCGGGACCGGGTGCGATTCCGCAAGGGCAACTTCGAGCTCTATGGGGCCGACTTTGTTGTTGGGGAGAACCTCCAGCCCTGGCTGCTGGAGATCAACTCCTGCCCCACCATGAGCCCCTCCTCGGCAGTGACCCGACAGCTCTGTGCCAACGTCCAGCGGGACACGCTGTGCCTCGTGCTGGACCGCAAGGACAACCCCACCTGTCCCATTGGAGCGTTTGAGCTCATCTACAAGGAGGTAGGCTGAGGGGAGGGGGCCAACATACCCCCCAGACACCCTGAGCCCTCCCAACACCTGCTGTCTCCCTGCAGGCAGCTGTGCCCAAGCTTCTGTCAGGACGTGTGAAGCTGCTGGTCAAGGGCTGTTCCCTGAAGAGCCTCCAGTCAGCACAAGAGCAAGCCCAGGACCAGCCCCCCACCACTCTTCAGGACCCTGTGTCCCCAAGGGCCAGAGACACCCGTGTCCCCAAGCGAGCACAGCGTCATTTCTCCACCACTGCGCCCAGTGCCCGCAAGCTCCCTGTGTCCCCAAGGGCCAGAGCCACCCATGCGCGCAAGCGAGCACAGCGCCATTTCTCCAACTCTGGGCCCAGTGCCCGCAAGCTCTCCCTGTCCCCAGGGGCCAGAACCACCCAGGTGCCCCGGAGAGCACGGCATCCATCTCCTACCATGGTGCCCAGTGCCCCCAAGCTCTCCCTGTCGCCAGGGGGCAAAACCACCCAGGTGTCCCGGAGAGCACGGCATCGATCTCCTACCACAGTGCCCAGTGCCTACAAGTGCTCTGTGTCCCCAGCGGGCAGAACCACCCAGGGGACCCAGCCCAGAGCAGCAACAAAGAAGCTGCCTCCTCTGGAGCAACAGAGCCACTGCCCTTCCACCAGCTCTGAGCCCCCAGCACCACCAAAGCCTCGGGCCTCCCCTGCTGGGAGCCAGGGGCTGCCACGGCTCAGTCACCCACCTGAGCAGCCCCGGATCAGTGTCTGTCCCCTGGATTGGGTGCCGATGCCACCACCCCGGGGAACCCCCAGAAATCCCTGGCTAACCCAAGGTTCTGCACGCTCCTTCCCTCCTGCCAAGCCCCTGCAACAACCTCAGTCTGCACAGAGCACCACCCCGTGCCTGGAGCAGAAGAACACAGCAGCTCCCAATGGGATGCAGAAGACTTGGGACACTGAGACAGCCTCAGGAGTGGACAGCACCCTGCCTGTCCTTGCTGAGTCAACACCGGCTGCCTCTGATCCCAAAGAGATCCCACTGCTGTGTCGTGGTACCCAGCTCCTCCCACGCTTTAAAATGATTCTGTGATAAGGAGTCTGTCTTGGACCTTCTGTGTGTGAGAGCTGTGGGGAGAGCTAGGACTGCCCCTGGGATGGGGCTGTGGGTGGGAACTGGGGCTGCCAGGGCAGAGAGCAGGCAGGAAAAGCTGCCTCAGCTCCTGCCTATGGTTGCCCCTGCCAAACAGAGCTGCGGTGGGTGATGACGCTGCTGCATTCCAGCACTTGGAACCAGGGCAGGCAGAGAGTGGCAGCAGGGTTGGTGCCCCCAGAGGCACAGCCAGGAGAAATGCATCCTCTGTGTGCCAAGAAAAGAACTGAGTGCTGGGCCTCCCAGACAACGGGGGGGATTTTAATAGGGTGGCAGAGAGCAGAAGGGTGTCCATGGCAGCACCATGGCTCCTAGTGCTCAGGCAGCCCCAGAGAGCGCAGAGTGTGCAGGAAGTATGGTGGTGGGGGGGCACGGAGAGGGCCCTCAGGCAGCACTAGCTCCTGCAGGTGGATATGGAGTGGGAGGTGATGGAGCTGCCGTGGAGAAAGCCCCAGCCGGGACAGCAACTCCTCGTCCAGTACCTGCAATGTGAGTGGGCAGCTCAGTGGGATCACTAAGGCTGTGCTGAAAGCCCCACCCAGCACCCAGCCTGGCCACGGACCTGTGTGTGGGTGGGGGCAGATTCGGGGCTCAGAAAGAAGGGCACTCCCAGCACCCTGCCCACGCGGGAGGAGTGCTTGTGGTCACCCAGGGCCGGACACAGCAGCAGCGTCAGGTGCACCTGGAGCTGTTCTGGGAAGGCTGGGGAGGAACAGGGACAAGATGAGATTGCAGGGATCAGGAAGGGTGCCTGGGGTGGTGGAGGTGTTGGGGGCTACTCACCCGTCCTGGGCTGGAGCTGGAGGAGGGCACAGCCCCCCACAGCACTCAGCACCCGGTAGCGTGTCAGGGTGCTCTTCACATCCTTCCTGGCCAGGCTGCGGCGTCCTGGGGCTGGGACTGGCACCACCTGCAGAGCACAGCCCTCAGCACTCCCTGGGGTATGCCCTGTGCCCCCAGCCCACTGGCACCCCCTTACCATGGCTCTGTCCCCTTGCTGCTGCCAGCTCAGCCCTGTGGAGATTTCACCCTCCACCTCTGCCGGGACTCCCACGGTGATGGCACTGCAGGGTAAGGTGGTGAGAAGGGGACAGGACTCCCATGCCAGCATGGCAGGGTCCCAAGGACTCACCGATATGTGGCAGGGTACTGGCCTCTCCAACGAGCATCAGTGAAGAACTGTTGGAGCTTCTTAGTGGTGTGGTAGCAGCTGGACAGGAGGACAAGGCCAGAATACTCCCTGTGGGACATGGCTGCTTGAGACCTGGAGGGGGAAAGGCAGCCCCAGCTCCACCCCAGGACCTCCAGCCTGAACCCTCCTACCACACCTGGCAGGAGCCTTCACCACGTGGAGATCAGCAGTGAGGCCCAGGCGTCGTCTCAGTGCCGGCAGCAGCACATCCAGGCTCAGGTCCTCGGAACGCCCTGTGGAGATGCTGGCAGGTCAGCATCTGCTGAGCCCCCCATGCAGACACCCCCACCCCTGCAGACCTCCACTGCTGTCCTGTACTCACCCAGAATGGGGAGGCCAGGGGGCTTGTTCAGTGCCAGCAGGGCTCCTAGTGAGGGAAAGTCTGGTCAGGATGTACCTCCCTCAGTGTCCCTTGTCCCCATTTTCCCCTGTCGCAGGTACCTTCCCGGTGCACCACGGAGCCCTCCAGCAGCCTCAGCGTCTCCTTGGGGCCCAGCAGCCGCCTCCACCTGCGGGGATGGAGTGGGCAGGGGGACACACGTGGGACTTCCTTCAGTACCTACCCTGCACCCCACTCTGCGTGTCCATAAATCTCACCCACCACTGTCCGCCCTCCTCCCCACGTGTCTCTGCACCCTCACGCTTCCCCGGCCCCTCTGTGCTCGCACATCTGCAACCCCACAGGTACGTCCCCAATCCCCCAACCCCGCCATAACCCCAGTTCATAACCCCTCTGTACCCGCGCGTGTGCATCTCCAGGTGCCAGCACACCCGTGGGCGTGCACCCGTGAGCGTACACACGCACCTCGGAACACCCGCACATGCACGCACCCCCTGTATCCACCCCTGCCCCCCGCTGACCCCACGGCGCGCACTCCCGGTCCCGGGCGCGCCAGCCCGCGCGCGGCGGTGGCAGCGGCGGCGGCAGCGGCGGCGCTCCCGGTGCCCGCCATGGCGGCGGGGCCGCGCCTGCGCCGAGCGCTGCCCCCGGCATCCGGAGCCGGCGGCCGCGGCCATAGAGCAGCGGAAGCGCGGGCAGAGGGTCCCGCCCGCAGGTGCGGCACGGCGGGGAGCGGCGGGCCGGGGGTGTCACCCCCGGGGGGGTCACCGCGGGGATGTCCCGGAGGGCAGGGCGGACACGGGGAGGGAGCCCCGGGGCTGTCGCTGTGGGAGGGAGGCCCGGGGGGCTTGTGGCGGGGCTGCGCAGGGGAGGCGGGCGGGGAGGGCGGCCCCGCCTGACGCGGTGTCTCCCCAGGACAGCGCCATGGCCTCCCGCGGGGGTCCCCGCGCCGCCGGCACCGACGGCAGCGACTTCCAGCACCGGGAGCGCGTGGCCTCGCACTACCAGATGAGGTAGGTGTCCCCTTTCCCGGGATCCCGGGGGGACACGCGACCCCAGCAGGCCCTGATGACCCTGCACTCTCTCCCCAGCGTGACGCTCAAGTCGGAGATCAAGAAGCTGATCTACACGCATGTGGTCATCTGGCTGCTGCTCCTGGCCCAGATGGTCGTGGGGCACCTCAAGCTGCTGCCCCACGACCAGGTGGCCATGCCCTACCAGTGGGAGTATCCCTACCTGCTCAGCATCCTGCCCTCCCTCCTGGGCCTCCTGTCCTTCCCCCGCAACAACATCAGCTACCTGGTACTCTCCATGATCAGCACCGGCCTCTTCTCCATAGCTCCCCTCATCTACGGGGCCATGGAGATGTTCCCCATGGCACAGCAGCTGTACCGCCACGGCAAAGCTTACCGCTTCATCTTCGGCTTCTCGGCCGTCTCTGTCATGTACCTGGTGGTGGTGGTGGCCGCGCAGGTGCATGGCTGGCAACTCTACTACAGCAAGAAGCTGCTGGACTCCTGGTTCACTAGCACGCAGGAGAAGAAGAAGAAATGAGTGGGGATAGGTGGGCTCCGTGAGGTGCTGAAGCTCTGCAGTTCAGTCCTGTGGGGCAGCGCTGGCGCAGCTCCGGTGGGTGGGGGATCCCCGGGGACCACGGGGTGGGTGTCTGATCCACACCACGGCCCCGGGCTCGCATGCAAGGGGGAGACCCCCGAGGGCCGGGGCCGTGGAGGGTCCCTGGGGTGCGTGCCCCTTCCTCCGCGCGCTGCTCTATGGAAATAAAGCACCGTCCGCTCTCCCACGCGTGTCTGCGCCGCAGGAAGCGCCGCCCGGCGGGGTGGGGGGGCCGGCGGGGCCGCACGTGCCGGTGCAGGAATGCGGCGGGGCCGGCCCGGGGCGGGGCGGGGAGCGGCGGCGCTCGACCATGGGGCGCCCGGTGCTGCTCGCCGCTGCCGCCGCGCTGCTGCCGCTGCTGCTGCTGCTACCGTCCGGGACCGGGGCTGCCGTGACCCGCCTGCGGGTCTCCGCCAACTTCGTGAGCGCCGGGGAAGGGAAGTGGCGGGGGAAGGTGGGGGGCGGGCGGCGCCGCGCTCACCCCGTCTCTTTGCTTGCAGGAGTGCCGGGCCACCGGTGAGTAGCGGCGGGGCAGGGCTGTCAGCGCGGAGCTGCTCCTGCCCGGCCATACCGGCTCCGGGGTGCGGCGGGACTGTGGGGCTTCCCCCGCCCGCGGCTACTGGGGCCGGGAGGATGGGGGGCCGAGGGCGGGGCGCTCCAGGTTTCCGGGGCACCGGGCTCCCCGCTTCCGAGGACTCCCGGTCCCCGAAACTTCCTGGCTCTTGGGGCTCCCCGCCTCCAAAGGCTCCGGATCTCCGGAGTTCCCTGTTTCCGAGCACTCCCGACCCCCAAAGATTCCCGCTTCCGAGGACTCTGAATCACCGAGGCTCCTGGTTTGTCAGGACTCTCGATCCCCGGGGCACCTCCCTTCCGACTACACCTCCCCGGCACTTCCCGGGGCTCTCCCCCCTTTCCAAGCACTCCCAGTCCCCGGGGCTCCCGCTGCCTACGGGACCCCCGGCGCACGGCCGCCCCCCGTCTGCTCTCCCCCTGCAGCCGACAGGACGCTGAGCCGCCCCCGCTGCCGCCGCCCTTCCCGCCCCGGGCCGCCGCTGGAGCCGCCCGCGCTGTCGCTGAGCCGTGCCCGGCTGTGCCTGCCCGCGCAGCCCTGCCAGCCCTGCCTGCGGGTGCGCCTGGCCCTCCCCGCCTCAGGTACGGCCGGGGGTGGCATCCCCGCGGCGGGGGACACACAGCCAATCCCCTCACCCATGTCAACACCCCACGCCGCTTTCTCGCAGAGCTCGGCGGTGTCCGGGGACTGCACCTCACATTCCTGGAGCTGGGCTCCAACCGGGCTGGCTGGCTGCAGGTTTGGCAGCGACGCCGGGTGTCGGGCAGCTCAGCGGTGAGTCTGCGCTGGGCGTGGAGCGGGGCACCGAGGCCCGGACCCCGCGCTGACCCCCTGCTCCCCGCAGTGGCAGGTGCAGTTCGACTGCTTCCCGGCAGAGAGCGGGCGGCAAGTCCTCGTCTCCCTTCGCACCATCCCAGATCGGGGCTTGGTCCTAAGCTCTAGCCACACGGTCACCGCTGAGCCACCCGGTGAGACTGAAGGGCTTGGGAGGTGTCCTGGGGGGACGCCGGTTCCAGCTGACCCCCTGCCTGCTCTGCAGGGCCTGTCTTTACCCATGCTTGGCTCCCTGAGGTTCGGGCCATTGAGGTGCGGGTGCCCGCGGGTCCCCCCCTCATGGTGCGGCTGTGCCACCAGCTGGCCCTGGAGTGTGAGGAGCTGCCCCGGCCCTTCCACCAGCAGGTAACAGCTCTGCCCCCCGACATCCCCGTCCCAGACTGGAGGGACACAGTCCCTGCCAGCTGATGCTCCCTCCTTGTTGCAGGTGCTGGTGCCCGGAGGCCACCACATCTCACTGCCGTATGAGTTCCTGGTGCCCTGCCTGTGCATTGAGGTGGGTTGCCCTCCCCTATGGCCATCAGAGCCCCTTTGTCCTCGCATGAGGAGGGGTGGGGGGCATATGCTGCTCTGACTATCATGCTCTGTTGCCCCAGGCCTCCTATTCCCACCACGACAGCCCACGGAGCAAACACTGCCCCTTCCATGACCGGCCAGATGCCTGTGAGTGCCTGGTGCCTGTGGGGAGGGGAGCTGAGTCCCAAGGGTGTCCCTGAGTGTCACCCCACCCCACTGATGTGGTGCCCCACAGATGGCCCCGAGCTGTGGTCCTCGGTGCACTTCCACGACTTCAGCACCAGCAGCAAGGACCAGATGGCGATGGTGCTGAGTGCCAGCTGCGCCCTGCACCCACGGGCCACCCTCTGCTGGAGGGAGGCAGCAGATGAGGCTGCACCCTGTCACGACATCCCCAATTCCACGGCCAGCGAGGATGAGCAGGTGAGGGCTCCTGATCTTGAGGTGTCACAGGATGTGGGACCATGTCACTTACTGGGGCATCCCCTGGATCTCAGGGTCCCTGTAGGGCAGTGGGTGGGCACTGTGGCTGTGTGGGTCAGAGATGGTAACTGTGACACACTCCATTTGTTCCAGGTGTACATACTGGACAAGGTGGACGTGCACCCCCAGCTCTGCTTCCGAGTAAGTCTCTGTGGGTGGGTGGGCACCATCTCGGAAGGAGCTGGGGGGCTGTGGTGGGTGAGGGCAGCTCACCCTGCCCTTTGCTGATCCCACCTCCCCTCAGTTCTCCTACAAGAACAGCAGCCATGTGGAGTGTCCCCACCAGTCAGGTGAGTCCTATGAGCAGGAGGCAGCCCTAGGCTAAGCACAGCCCTGCCCTGGGGTCCCTTGCACCCCTCACCCTCTTGGGCATCCTGCAACCTCCCCTCTCTCTCTGAGGGCCACAGAGACTGCCTGGAATGTCTCAGTGAGTGTCTGGGGGCTCCAGCTGCACCTGCACCTCACCTCCCGCATCCCTGCAGCCTTCAGTGCAGCCCTGTGCCAGCGCCGGGGTGGGCAGTGTGAACCCGAGGCCCCACTCTACACTGTCACACAGGTGAGTGCTGCAGGGCTGGGGGGACGTGGTGGGGACAGACCTGCACTGACCCTGCCCTTGTACTTTGCAGCCAGAGGGCTCTGCTCCAGGGGAGTTGGCGCTGCTGCTGCCAGTGCAGGTCCTGGGCAGCTGTGTGCTGGTAAGGTGACCCTTGTGCAGTCATCTGTGCTGTGGGGGACCCAACATGGTCCCCCTCTCACCCAGCTCCTTCCCCAGGTGTGGCGCTCGGACGTGCATTTTGCTCGGAAGCAGCTGCTCTGTCCCGATGGTGAGAGAGGGTTCTGGAGGGGACTCAGGGGGCAGTGGAAATGGGCAGACAGCCCCCTTACTGCCCCTCTCCCAGTCTCCCGCAGGCACTTCGGGCTGCTGGGGCTGGTGCTGGCACTGGGACTGGTGGTGACTGTGCTGCTTCTCAACTGCCGTGGTGCCTGGAGGCCAAATGATGGTAAGAAGCACCCAAGGGGGCTGCAGGAGGGACAGCAAGAGGGACTGGAATGCCAGGGGGTGCCAGTTCCTGGGCTGCAGGGGGTCCCAGGGTGGTGGATGGCACATGCTGTTGCATCCCAGGGGATGCCAGGACATGGAGCTGAGCTGTCACTACTGTCCCCTCCACCCTGCAGGTGTCCCTGGCAGGCGCCCTGTGCTGCTGCTGTACTCGCCCGACTCAGAGGAGCACCTGGGGCTGGTGTGTGCCCTGGCCGAGCGGCTGCGCACAGGGCTGGGCTGTGACGTGCGCCTGGACCTGTGGGAAGCGGGTGGCCTGGGCCAGGCGGGTGCCCTGCCCTGGCTCTACGCCCAGCGGGGCCGCGTGGGCCGCCAGCGCGGCACTGTCCTGCTCCTCTGGAGCCGGGGCAGTGCCCGGCTCTTCCATCGGTGGCAGGTCGGGATGGCTGACGGGACGCCTGGGGATGCCCATGACATTTTTGGGGCAGCCATGGCCTGCCTGCATGGGGAGCTGGGGGCGGCGAGCCGCGGCGGCGGGTGGGTCCTGGCGTACTTCAGCCGGCTCTGCAGCCCCCGCGACGTCCCCCGACCCCTTCGGCCCCTGCCCACCTACCGCCTGCCCCGACAGCTGCCTGGGCTGCTGGGGGCCCTGCGGGGCAGCCCCCCGGCCCCTCGGCACTGCCGCTGGGGCAGGGCAGGGGGCCTCCTGCACCGGCTGCTGGACATGGGGGCCAGGGAGGGCAGTCCCCCCGCCCCGGCCCCCCGGGGCAGCGTCTGGCACCTGAGCGCCCAGGCTGGGCCTGAGCTGGGCATGGCTGCAGGGGGTGCAGGGCTGGGTGCAGCCCCCCGGTGAGGGCAGGGGTTCTGCCAGGAAAAGGCAGGGCTCAGGAGAGCGTGTGCCCACTGCGGCAGCAGGAGGGGCACCCGTGGGTGCCCCGGGAAGGGCGGCAGGGGTCCAAGCAGGTCTGGCCTCAGCCATGGAGTGTGCTGCTGGGGCTGGAGTGAGCATCCAACTGTCATCTGTGGCCAGGAGCGGAGATGCTGTCCCGAGCAGGGGCAGCTTTATTCCCATAGAGGAGAGCCCGTAGAAGCCCCTTTGGACGGCACAGCCGAGCGAGGAGTTAGGGTGGTGCAGGAAGAAGCTGAGAGATGGGGAAGCTCCCTGCCCAGCCCATGCACAGGTGGCTGGAGGGGCGGGTGCTGGGCTCAGCCCGGCCCGGCTCTTTGCCTCCACACTGCCAGCAGGACTTGGTCTGGGGTGGAAGCAATAAAGGTGTCATTTCACCCTGCCCTGTTGTCTCTCTGGTGTACCGGGGGAGATCTGTTGGTGCCCTGGAGGACCGGGGGCTGCCCAGTGCTCCTCTGCAGCATGGAGGGGCAAGAGGACGCACCCGGCTGGGCACAGCCTGTACCGGCACGGCTGCCACACCGTGTCCCACAGCCGCGGCGGCTGCCTGGGGCCAGCCTGGCACCGTGCCCGTGGCCATGGAGCCGACTCGTCTCTGTGGGGCCCCAAGCCCTCCGCAAGGGTGGCGGGACGCGGAGCCCTCCGCGGCCGGTGCGGGCGCAGGAGGCCCCACCCCAGGGCGGCTGCTGACGCCACGCAGGGAGCCGGGTGTCCGGGATCAGAGCAGGAAGCGGGAGCCGCTGGCGGCGGTGGGGCCCGTGGAGCCGGGAGAGGGCTGCCGGGGAGTAGCCGGCGTGGGGCCGGGGCACCCCGAGGCCCCGGCCCCACCATGCACCCACTGGGGCAGCTCCTGCTGGTGCTGGTGATGGGGTTGGCAGGTGGCCGTGGGGACCCCCGCGACACCCTGGCCTGCTCCCAGGTGGGTTGGTGTCACCAGCGCGCAGGCATCGGGCACCTGGCACCACTGCCGGCCTCACCCCTGCCTCCCCCAGGGCCTCACCTGCCGCCTCTTGGGTAAGTGCCATCACCCTGCCATGGCCCCCGCCCCACCCGGGGCATGGGGACTCCACCCCACACTGCCCTCTGTGTCCCCCCAGACACCGATGTGCTGTGCGGGACAGAGCCCCCGGGGCCCAGGCAGGAGCTGGCCCTGGCCCGTCTGCGGCTGGAGCCGGCGCTGCGCTGCACCGAGCCCACGGCCTGTGCGCCCTGCCTGGAGGCACGGGTGCGCCTGGCCTTGCCACCTGCCGCCGGCACCGGCACCGAGTCCCACCTCTCCGTGCAGCCGGGCACCGCTGGGACAGAGGACAGCGGTGATGGGCGACAGTGGTCACCAGTGACTGGGGCCACCCCATCCCAGCCCAACGTTACTGGGCTGCTGCTGCTCTCTGGGCACACGTTTGCCTCATCCCGCTGCGTGGCCGTGGAGGTCTGGGCACCCTTGGGCCCCACACTGCACGGCCGAACCATGGTACGTAGGTGTGGGGCACTGGGGGTCAGTGTCCCTGCACTGTTGGTCCCTGGGCACTGGGGATGTGGGTGCTGGCATCAGCATATCTCTGTGGCATGGGGGTCCCGTTCCTGTGCCCCAGGGAGGTGGGGTGGGTGCTGGCGGTGCCGGTGCCTCACCGCAGTGAGGTGGTGGTTTTCCTGCCCAGGGCTGGGTGATCTTCCGGTGCTTCGAGGCTCCGCTGGGCTCCGAACTCCACATCTCAGCATACATGAACTCACGGGGCCGGCAGAGGCTGAGCCAGCAGCAGCGGGTGCCAGGTAAGCCCCGGCAGGTCCTCTGCAGTGGCCCCAGCCCCTCTGCCCACTGATTCACTGTCCCCACAGACTGTTCGTGGCCCGCAGCACAGGATGCTGTCCCCCAGTGCCAAGGTAGGTGCTGGCATCACCCCACCTCGGTTTGCATCCCTGGGGAGAGCCGGGCAGTGGACACCAGGGGTGAGAGTGACCCTGGGGGTGCCATGCCCCATGCCATGGTGCTGGGCAGGCAGTGCCAGGACCGGGGTTACCTGAGCTGCCTCTCACACAGTGCCCAGGCTGCGGGTGTCTCCGGGGCAGAAGGAGGTGGTTGTGGAGGTGGAGGGGGCTGCAGCAGGGCACAGCTACACACTCTGGCTCTACCACAACCATAGCCATGGCACCAGTGGGCCAGGGCGTGTGGTGACTATGGTGAGTATGCACCCCATTCCCTGACCCCCTGCCCTGTCTGTTCTCCGGTTGCTGCCCTCCTCCCCATTCCCGAGAAGCCATGTCTGTGTTATAGGCAGTCTGCTGGGAGAGGGTCCCCTGGGAGCAGATCCCCCTGGGTGACCCTGCTGGTGGCGATTTGCCACGGGGTGACCCACATCTGGTTGCTGGTAGCAGAGCAGTCCCATGAACTATGTCCTGTCTGCTGATGAGGTGCTGCCCTGCCTCTGCCTGCAGGTGGGCATCTGACCGGGCACTGCAGGAGTGCCAGGATAAGTGGCCACTAAAGAGGGGCTCCAAGCTCCATAGATCTCCCTCTGGCATCCCAAAGGGGCCGGCCAGATCACAGTGACAGCATGAATACTTTTCTTGTCTTTTTCCCCACTCCCAGGTCTGGCCAGAAACCCAGGACCCACTACGGGCCACCCTGTGCCCCTTCTCTCACGGTACCTTCACTCTGAGGCTGGGCTTTAGGGGTCTGGGACACAGGGGGACTTGAGGGGACACCACTGGGAGTGACACTCCTCTCCTGGTGCTGCTGCAGATGCTGAGGCCTGGGAGCGACTGTGGGCGCAGAGCCGGCTGGTCCTGCACATCGAGGGGCAGGTGCTGACCTGCTCCCTCTCAGCCCCCTGTGACCTCCTGGCTGAGCTGGTGCCCTGCTGGCAGCCAGTGCCCTCCGGGCCCTGCCAACCCCTGCCTGGCCTGCAGCAACCTGCCAGGGGGAAGGTGAGGGGCTCTGTGGGGCACTGTGGGGCACTGGGGGCTTTGGGAAGGATGGTGGTGACAGTTATGGAGCATCCCTTGCACTCACAGGGACCACAGGAGTTTGGAGGGCTGCGGCCACACCCCAACCTCTGCGTGCAGGTAGGACACTACTCTGCCCCACAGCTGCCCCATGGGCAGCCCCACATCTCCCCCAAGCACTGTTAATCCACTCTCTGGGCAGGTGTGGAGCGATGGACAGGTCCGGCTGACTCAGTGCCTGCGGGACCGTGAGTATTGCTGGGATGGGAGGGTAGTGGCAGCCTGTGGGTGCAGCTGGGGGGGGGCCCCTCCTTGGCCTCCCCTCACCACCTACCCAGCCCTCTGGCACATTCCCAGGAGCGCTGCCCGGCCGCCCTGATGACCTCCTGCTGCTGGAGCGAGGGGGGAATGCCTCACTGTGTGCCGTGGAGAGGGGTGCCTGCACACCCCTGGCCAGCTTCACCAGCAGGGTAAAGAGCAAGGGACCTCCATGTCCTGGCAGAGTGGCACTGGTGGCACAGGGACCCCTGTGTCCAGCAGTGGTGGCACTGCTGTCTGACCTGCTGTGTTGTTGCAGGGAGCAGGGCCCCCTGGCCTGCTGGAGCAGGATCTGCAGCAGGATGTGGCAGCGGGGCAGTGCCAGCAGGTCAGTGTGAGTGGGCAGTGGGCAGGGACTGGGCAGTGTCTGACATGTCCCTGTGTCCCCCACAGCTGTGGCACCCATCAAACAGAACTGGGGTTACACTCTGGACCTGTCCCCTGCACAAGTGTGAGTGTTGACAGCCACGGTGTAGGAGAGGAGGGATAAGGGAGGGCTGAGGGAGGGCTGAGGGAGGGAACCCCCCCTGTGGAGTCACTGGAGACCCTCCCCCTGTGGAGCCACTGGAGACCTTTGTTGGGTGCCGGGGGCCCTACATGGATGCAGATCCTGCCCTGCAGACCTGCGTACCCACTGGGCACTGGTGTGGATGGGGGTGCTACTGGGAGCTGCCTGTCTCCTACTGCTGCTCTTGATGAAGAAGGAGGACATGAAAGGTGAGTGGTGCACTTCTGGGGGCTGTGCCTGGCCTGGGACCCCTCCTGGGACCTCACTGCCTTTCCTCCCTGCAGGATGGCTGAAATCCCTGAGGGCTGGCTATGGCTCCAGTGGTGAGTGTGGGTTGAGCCTGGGGCCTCGGGGGGAGTGGGCAGTCTGTACCTATCCCAGAGGGCTCAGAGGACAGACTGAGGGGTCCCCCACCCAGATTAGTTCATGTTTGCCTGCCTGATAGGGTAGGTAGGGGTGTAGGGAAACAGAGAAGAGGGTGAGAACCCTGTGGGGGGTGGGAGGGGGCAGATTGCAACCTGCTTCCCACCATGTCTGTCCCTTAGGGTAGGGAAAAGTTTTGGCAAGGGATTGGGGGACTCAGGTCAGTGGTGGTCTCAGCTGCTTCCCATCGTGGCTGTTCTTTAGCTTGGGTACAGGTGGTGCTGCAGGCCTTGGCTGACAGAGGCAGGGGATGGTCTCCCCCGTGGTGGGTGCTTCCCAGCATGGCTCCCACCACAGGGTGGGTACAGGGTGCCTAGAGGGATCCGGGGCACTGATGATCTCCCCCTCAGGTCCGCTGCAGGGCCGGCGGGCCCTGCTGGTGCACGCAGCAGAGCCGGTGGCGGAGCGGGCAGCGTGTGCCTTGATGGCAGCTCTGCACTCACTGGGCGTGACGGTGGTGGCAGCACCGGGAGGTGGTAGCGGGGTAGCAGCTTTGGGGCCACTGCCCTGGCTGCACGCCCAGCACCACCGGGCGCTGCGTGACAGTGACACCATCATCCTCCTCCTCTCTCCGGCAGCCGTGGCTGCTGCACAGCAGTGGGACGCCAGGGCCAGGGTTGTGCCAGAGTCCGGGGCCGCTGAAAGCAGCCTTGGACCCTGGCACAACCCTGACCCTGACGATGTCCCCACTGTGGCACCCTGCGAGGTGTTTGCGGCGGCTCTGTCCTGTGCCATGCCGGTGTTGGCGGTGGCCCACGGGCACTACGTGGTGGCCCGGCTGGAGGCCTTGGTGCCAGCAGTGCCCCCAGCGCTGCGGGCAGCCCCTGCCTTCGCACTGCCCAGCGAGATGGAACGGTTCTTGCAGGCGCTGGCAGGCCCAGCTCGGCAGAGGGGCAGGTCTCTAGAGCCACACGTGGCGGCGGTGGCTGAGGCTCTGCAGCGGGCGGTAGGAGAATAAAGGGGTGACAATGCTTTTGCTGAGTGTGAGTCCAGATCTGAGCCCAGCAGGGACTGGGATGGGTTGGGAAGGGGTGATGGGGTGGACTCGGATGGCATGGAGAGGGATGATGGGGAAGTATAGGGGCAGGAAGGGGGCTGGGCTGTTTGGGGCGTGAAGGGGAAGGAGGTTTTTTGGTTGGAGGGTGGATGGGGAACTGGACCAATTCGGAGTGGTGGTCGGGAACTGGACCAGCTCATTGGGGCATGATTGGCAACTGGGACAGTTTGGGGGAAAAATGTGAGAACAAATTGGACCAGTTTAGGGTGAGATGAGGGGGAACTGGGCAAATTTGGGTACAGTGAGAGGGAACTGGACCAGCTTGAGTGGAGGGGGTAAAGCCACCTGGTTTGGCTGGGGGTGGGAGGGATATTTAGAGGGTCCCGCCCAGGCCAGGAGAGGACGGGATGGTGCGGTGAGGTGCGGTGAGGTGCGGTGCGGGCAGCCCCGCTCGGTGCGGGGTCACCGACAGCAGCCCGTCTGCACACCCCCGTCCCGGGCCTTTGCCCGCGGCCCCTTTAAGGCGCGGGTGGGCGGGCCCAGGGCGCAGCGCTGATTGGCTGGGAGCGGGGGGCGGGCGGTGGCGGCGCGCGGCCATTGGCGGGGGCGGGCGGCGCTGAGTCAGCGGGCGCGGCCCACGTGGTGCGGGCGGGGCGGGCGGACGATGGGGCCGCTGCTGCCGCTGCTGCTGCGCTCGCCCCGGCGCAGGGGGCCCGGGCTGGGGGGGGCCCTCCTGGGGGCCGCCCTCCTCGGGGGGGTCCTGCTGGCCGTTCGCGCCGACTCCGACCCCCACCGAGACGGGGCTGAGCCGTGCCGAGCCTGCCGCGGCCTCGCCGACAGCTTCATCAGGGTGCGCGGCGGGGGAGCACAGGAATGATGGAGGCCGCGGCGAGGGGGCACACGGGGGCAATGGCACCGAGGGGTGCTTCGTGGGGGAGCTGGGGGTCAGGGGACAGTGATGCGAGGGGCCCACGGGTGGCAGACGTGGGGGACATGGCCTGGAGGTGACAGTGAGCGGGGACGAGGGGGGTTCTGGGTCGGGTGATGTGGTTGGGGGCCCAGAGGAATCACAGACCGGGGACATAAGGGTGGTGACAGGGCCCGATAGAGGGGTGGTTTGCGGGGGACAGTGGTGAAGTAGAGGCACTCCTACAGCCTTCCCAGGGGCACCATGCCTAGGCTCTGGGGAGGTGAGAGGGTGGCAGGTCCCTGGAGGTGATGTGTCCCGTGGAACCCTACGGATGGAGAGGTTATTGGGGGGAAGGGTTCCATGCCTGCACTGCTGCTCCCCCATGCACCCAGGGCCTGGAGCGGACAGAGCATGAGGGCTTCGGTGGGGGTAACACAGCCTGGGAGGAGGAGAAGCTGTCCAAGTACCAGCACAGGTAAATGATCCCATTGAGAGGCTGGGGCACCCCAGCTGCTGCAGAAGTCATACCCCACACTGGCTTATGTCCCTGCAGTGAGACCCGTCTGCTGGAGGTGCTGGAGGGTGTCTGTGCACCCTCAGACTTTGCCTGTCATCAGCTGCTGGAGCGGAGTGAGGAGCACGTGGAGCAGTGGTGGTTCCATGAGTGAGTCTGGGGGCAAGGACAGGAGGATGGCAAGGGGCACAGGCGGATGGCAGGGGGCTGAGTGCTGTGTCTTCCCCTCCCCAGGCAGCAGCAGCACCCTGACTTTTTCCAGTGGCTGTGTGTGGACAGGCTGATGCTTTGCTGCCCGCCCGGCACCTACGGCCCAGACTGCCGGTGTGAGTAACTGTGGGGTGAGCAGGGTGCTGGTGGGGCTGGAGGGGCTCCCCTGGCTGCTGCCCTCTGTGCCAGCTGGCTGGTCTCTCCCCGTGCAGCCTGTGCGGGCGGGCCCCAGCAGCCCTGCAGCGGCAACGGGCGATGCGATGGGGACGGCACGCGCCGCGGCACCGGCCTCTGCGTCTGCAGCCCGGGCTATGGCGGCCCCTTCTGCGCCGAGTGCGGGGATGGCTACTATGAGGCCTCGCGGAACAAAAGCCACCTCGTGTGTGCTGGTAGGTGGGGGCTCTGCTGGTGCTGTCCAGCCTGGCTACAGGCAGCTCCCCCCTGCCTGTGTCCACGTGTCTGTCACTACCCGCAGAGTGCTACCAGGCATGCGGGCGCTGCACGGGTCCCGAGGACTCCAGCTGCCTTCGCTGCAAGAGGGGCTGGGTGCTGCATGAGCACCGCTGCATTGGTGAGTGAAGGCCAGGGGTGAGCTCAGGGCCATGGGGGCTGCGTCCCTGGAGCTGAGGCTCAGTGGGGCCATCCCCATCTCTCCTGCAGATATAGATGAGTGTGGCACAGAGATGGCACACTGCCGAGCCAACCAGTACTGCGTCAACACAGAGGGCTCCTATGAGTGCCGAGGTCAGGGGGAAGGGGGGGTTTTCATGCAGGTGGCTTTCCCTGCTTGGGGTCAACCCTGTCTGGGCTGGGAAGGAGCTCTGGCAGCAACTCTGGCTCCATTCCCTGAGGCAGACTGCTCCACGGCTTGCATCGGCTGCATGGGCGCTGGGCCGGCTCGCTGCAAGAAATGCAACAAGGGCTACTGGCGGGACGGAGCCAAGTGTCTGGGTGAGTGCCTCCCATGAGCTGGGGGGCCATACTGCCCCCTCTTCACTGCCCAATCCCTGCCTGACCCCTGTCTCCCCCCCAGACGTGGATGAGTGTGCCAGTGCCGAGGAGCCAGTGTGCACAGGGGTGCAGGAGGTGTGTGAGAACACAGAGGGCAGCTACCGGTGCATCTGTGCCCAAGGCCATGTCCGCCGAGACGGGCAGTGCGTGGAGGACAAGCCCCCTGGTATGGCCTAATGCAGTGTGGGGGGACATTAGGCAGGGGGTGTGGGACATGGGGGGGGGCTCTTGCTGGTCAGCTGTGCCCTCCCATGAGTGTTGTCCATGCAGATGCCCCAGAGAAGGGCTTCTTTGATGACGTGACTGATGACGAGGTGGTGGTGCTGCAGCAGATGTTCTTTGGTGTGATGATCTGTGCCCTCGCCACGCTGGCTGCCAAGGGTGACATGGTCTTCACCGCCATCTTCATTGGCGCCGTGGCTGCCATGGCTGGCTACTGGCTCTCTGACCGCAGTGACCGTGTCCTCGATGGCTTCATGAAGGGCAGATAGCTCTGGAGCTGCTGGGCACAAGCAGAGGGGCAGACTCAGCTTGGGGTGCAGGGCCTCCCCTAAGCAGGGCTGGCTGCCAAGGCTGCATCCTGTAGATGATGCTGTGCCCTGCATGCGTCCCCCAGCCCCCCCTTAGCATAGGGTCTTGTTTTCCCTGTCCCTGCAGAATGAGCCAGGAGTACCTGATCCTGGGGGCTCCCACACAGCCCCCTCTGGATGGAGGGGTGATGCCAGGCAGTGCAGCATCGTGTGGGGGCACAGCATGCTGCCCCCAGCTCCTCGTGCTCTGGAGGAGAGGCCTGGCATTGTTACAGGTGAGGGGGTGGAGGGGCAGGTGAGGGAGGGAACCTGCTATCTGCCCCCAGGCTGGGGCTCCTGGCCCTGTAGGATTCCCCTCCCATGAGGCCATTCCCTGTGGGAGAGCGGGGGGCTGGGTCCCCCCATGCCCTGAGCTGTGCGGCTGGGAGAGATGCCCCCCTATCCCTGGGCAGAGCCCATCTCCCCTCCCAGGCTGGGGGCCAGGGCCCTCTCGCCACTGACAGGGTGCTGTGCTGGTGAGGGGGCCCTGCTGGATGCATGAGTGTGGCCATTGCATTTGTCCGTGATTTGTCTGTCGGGGTGTGCCCATCTGTCTGTGTGTCCATATCTCAGGAAATAAAGCTCTGCACACCCAGCTTGGCTGCTCAGAGTAGGAATTGGTGGGAATTGGGGGTGCTGCTGCCCGCCATCTCTTTCACATGCCAACAGGACCGTCTCCTCCCAGCATAAACTCTTTATTTCTCTCGTTTGGCACAAATGGAACCGCCCCTGCCCGGCCCTACAGGGGCGCAGGATCAGACCCCCACACCCTCACAGTGTCCTCACCCTCACGTTGTCCTTCTGCGCCCCCAGTCTCTGCCTGTCCCGGGCTCAGAGCTCAATGGTGTCGCTGGAGAGGCTGCGGGAGTCCAGCGCCTTGCCGAGGGCTGGGAAGGCGCGGGGACCCTCCCGCTCCCAGCCGGGGGCTCCGGCGGGCACCAGGAGCGGGGCCCGGCTGGGCGCCTCGTCCAGGGGCAGGCTGTCGGGCGAGGACAGCCCATGGCGCCAGGGGTTCCAGCTGATCTTCAGCGAGCTGCTCTCCAGCGAGCTGGCCGAGGCGGTGACAGTGACAGTGATGTTGCCGTGGGGCTGGCGGGGACCGGGCAGCTCCGTGAGCGAGCTGCAGCGCACCATGCGCCCCAGGCTGGGGGTCTTGTCAGGGGCAGGGGAGCCGTGCAGCGAGGAGCCGGAGCCGCGGCGGGCCCGGCCGAAGAGGCCGTCGTGCAGGAGGTGGCGGCGGCAGAGCGCCTGGTCGATGCTGCGGCGCAGGTCGATGGGGGACGGCGGGCGGAAGATCAGCTCCCCCAGGGAGGGGGACGAGCCCTGCTCGAAGGCAGCGCAGGAGCGGGCGGCCAGCATGTTGGGGCACTTGGGGCTGAGCCCCGGCATCCCGGTGCCAGCTGCCCAGACCTCGTTGCTGTCCTTCAGAGCCCGCAGGGGCAGCTGCTCCGCCGGGTTGCGGATGAGGTTCTTGGAGATGTCGTTGGCGGGTGTCCGCTCCGCACCGCTGCCGCCGGTGCCGCCGCCGGCCCAGTCGTAGCAGTTGTTGGGGTATTCGGGTGCTTCAGCTTTGCGGCCGGCGCAGAAGTACCGCAGTGCCTTGGCCCAGCAGGAGTGGCCGGCGGGGCTCCGGCGGCGGCACCGGCAGCACACGGGCTCGGCGGCGGCCGCCAGCAGCGCCAGGGCCGTGCCCAGCTCGCCGATCCGCAGCCAGAGCTGTGCCGCCCAGCTGGGCCGGGAGAAGCGCCCGTGGGGCCCCAGG